TCCATTCTGACCTCTTGCTCCGTTGTCGTTGCCGATGCCGTGATCTGTTTCCATTACCTCGCACCCTTTCTCGACCTCTCTCTCTCATCTCTCTATTCTAGTACAATTTTCTTTGCTACCTATTAGATTATTTTAATTAATGGTTCTAAAAGTGTTGGGATTTAGGTGACATTTCTGTCTTGAAGAGGATCTTGTGTTCATACTTAATTATCATTTTAGGCGTAATCTTGGAAATCTTTCTATATAAATATATTATATCTTTCTCATGGCATAGAATGCATGAGAGAAGCATTATTTTTTTCCTTGCCTATTTCTTGTTAAAAACCCTTATCTTATCCATATGACTGGCTCGTCCATCTGCACCTTTAACATTTGTTGCTCTTATGGTTACAGAATGCCTAAGATTTTGAAGAACGCGGTATTGGTCTTGTAATTCTGAAAGAGAACAGTGAAGTGGATTTTGAGGTGAGAGTGCCTTCGGCTCCCATCATCTTCACTTGTTTGAGTTGTCTCATGTACCTTTCATACAGAGGTACATACATCTCTTACATAGAGCTACATATATTGATGATGCTTTCTTATTTCCTTGTAGGTTGTAACGGTGCACTCATAATAATAGTTTGGATTCATGCTACCAAGTTCCCACATTGTTGATTTGACACACAAAAATGAATTTTTCAGTTCTAAAATTGATTTATTTCAATTTTCAAACTCATGTGTGACATGAAATATCATCAAGTACTTAATTCTGCAAGCTACTTATTTTCTTGATGCATTTATTTTATTGTATAAAAAAGAGTATTTGAATCTTTTATTTAAAAAGGAGCAATCCATTTTAATTTTACAATCAAATCGTACTCTAGTTTTAATTAGAAGATTAGTCAATGACTGTTTTATTAACATATAGCAATTATGCACAACTCAATCAACTTTTAGTAATATCTTCTTGCGTTCAAAATGTTAGAGTTGGTTGTAGGGGTGGTTGTAATTGCCTTATTAAAGCATAAATGGCACACTTTGCGGCATTTCCATACTTTACAGTTTAGGAACATGTGTTCATCAGGTCCCAAATTCCATTTATTTAAACTGCAGCAATTGCAAATATCAGAGTAAAGGTGCAAATAAAGATTCCAACTTTGCACTTTTTTCTATTTAAGGATGTTAACTTTGTCAGTTTCTAAATAATGATGTCAACTTTCAATTTTTTTTTAAATAAGGATGTTAACTTTGTCAGTTTCTAAATAAGGATGTCAACTTCCAACTTTTTCTATTTAAGGATTAATTGAATAGTGATGCTGACGTGGCTAACATATTTGGTTAAATATTTGAATTGGTCCCTTGACTTTTATTTTTGAACCAATTCATCCTTAAACTTCAGAAAGTACCAAAAAC